GGGCCGTATCCTAGACCACCGGGGCCGTATCCTGGACCACCTGGGACATATCCTGGAGGACCAGCAGGACCGGGACCATTCCCAGGACCACCTGGAGCATTTCCTGGAGCACCAGCAGGACCGGGGCCGTATCCTGCCCCAGGACAACCGCCCAGCGGCCCTGGATTTGGGTCCCCTCGTTCGCAGGGGGGGCCGGCTCCTCCCATGGTAATGCTCCATCATATTATAAGGATTTCTGTGTCTGGTTTTGCTTGGCCACGGGGGGGCTGGCTGTGCCCAGGGAGGTGACATGGGTGGGCAATGTCACAGGGCTGCCCCGGTGCATTGTCACACCGTGACCCAGCCCGTGCCCGAGCGTTTGGCTTTGGATGTGGGGGTTTTTCTTGCTAACACTGAATCCCTGTTGTCTCCCAGAAAGTCCCCTTCGATCTGCCTCTGCAGACAGGACTCGTCCCGCGGTTGCTCATCACCATCACGGGGACTGTCAACTGCAACCCAAACAGGTACCGGGGGGGCTGGCGCCGAGGGTGGGGGGTCCACAGGGTGAGGTCAGCTGGATGGAGGGCTGGGATTTGCTTTTTGTTTTGGAATAACACCTACAAAGCAAATATGACATGAAATAAACGTATAAATGCCTCCAGAAATGCCCTGTTGTTGCCTAACAGGATCTGGGATTTTTTTTTCTGCCCCATAACAGAGCCCAGGGCTTTTGCAGAAAAAAAAAAAAAAAACAAACCAGCTCATCTGTTATTGTCTTTGCAGGTTTTCCCTGGATTTCAAGAGAGGGAATGACATTGCCTTCCACTTTAACCCCCGCTTTAATGAAGACCACAGGAAAGTCATCGTCTGCAACTCCATGTTCCAGAATAACTGGGGGAAGGAGGAGAGGACAGCGCCCAGGTTTCCGTTCGAAGCTGGAAAACCCTTCAAGGTAACAACCCCCCGCCCCAAAAAAACCCCAACAGCACCCATGAGCTTGTTTTCCTGCAAAACCCAGAGATTCCTTTATCAGGGAGGGACAGGACGAGGGGGAACGGTTTGAAGCTGAAAGAGGGGAGATGGAGATGAGATCTGAGGAAGAAATGTTTTCCTGTGCGGGGGGTGAGGCAGTGGCCCAGGGTGCCCGGAGAAGCTGTGGATGCCCCACCCCTGGAGGGGTTCAAGGCCAGGCTGGATGAGGCTTTGGGCAACCTGGGCTGGTGGGAGGTGTCCCTGCCCATGGCAGGGGGTGGGACTCGATGGGCTTTAGGGTCCCTTCCGACCCAAACTGTCCTGTGATTCTAAAATAGGTTCACATCTGGTGAGAAGGCAGTGCTCGCTGCAAACCACAGGGTGCTGTGGCTTGAAAGCAGTCATAGTCACGAGGAGACAGAAACTGGGGGCTAGAACACAAAAGAGGAAGAGCACGGCAGGGTTTTGGGGAAGGCAGGCGTCACCGGGGGTTTAGCAGCTGGGAGTCGTGGCACCAGCTCAGCCACATGCCACCAGGCTGGGCACAGCTGGCAGCAGCTGCCTGCTCGCGTCCGCGGCGTCAAACCTCTTCCTCAAACAAAGCTGATGGTTCTCTTTCGGCTGCTTTGGGGTTTTTATTTCAGCTGCAGATCCTCTGTGAGGTGGATCACTTCAAGGTAGCGGTCAACGACGCTCACTTGCTGCAGTTCCACTACCGCGAGAAGAAGCTGCACGAGGTCACCAAGCTGTGCATCGCGGGGGACATCACCCTCACCAGCGTCACGCCCACCATGATATAACCCCGGCGATCTCAGCGCTCTTAACACGGCTGTAACAGAAGTGCCTTCTTATGTGAATATTTTGAGGTAATAAAACATTTTACTTTCCCGAGTGAAATCTGTTTTCTATCAGATCTCAAAAGACACCATGTCCTCCAGCAAGCTGAGTTCAAAGCTGGATGTATCTGAATTCGCACTGGAGAGACAGAGAATCTCTTTGCCAAAGGACGATGACGAAGAGCCCTTGGATTTGCATGGAGAGGAATATTTGGGAAAGCAGCCGGTGTACTGCTGCCGGTCCGGTGAACCCAGGCAGCAATCTTCACCCCCACCTTCTCCAGGGAGCAGTCAGGGACTGGGCATTTTTAGCCTCAGGTGCTCAGCTGGGCAGAGCAATGATTCCTTTTTCACTAGAGGAATCAAAACAGAGCAGCAAAGGGCTCAAGTTCACCCCCGCGGGGAGGAGGAGCTGCAGGATCAGGCTGTGAGTAAGTCATGGGTAATTCACAGAAGTGCGGCTTCACCGTGATCCACCAAGAAACCCTGGAAAATGGGGAACACTGGAGAGCCTGTGATCCTGAGCAGAATTAGGAATTTCAAGAGGGGGGTTCAGAGCTGGAAGAAGCCCAACCTCTCCCCTAGACAAGGGCTGGAAAAGCTACCCCTCTCCTTTTCAACAGCCCACTCAGTGGCCCAAATGTGATCAGGCATCGGAACAGGCTGCCCAGGGCAGTGGTGGAGTCACCGTCCCTGGAGGGGGTCAAGAAATGTGTAGATGTGGTGCTTGGGGACATGGGTTAGTGGGTGAGGTGGTGTTGGGTTGATGGTTGGACTTGATGATCCTTGAGGTCTCCTCAAACCTTAATGATTCTATGATTCTACGTCCAAAATACACTTCCCTCCCCCAGGAGACCCGATTTTTACAAGCATTATACAGTCCATGGACTGGGTCACTAGCCTTGTGCTTCCCTCCCCTCATTGCTTGTGCGTGAGTCAAGACCAGTTTCAAGGGTGGGGAGGTTTATTGGCAAATTCACCTCATGAGTCAGGCTGGTAAAAAAAAAAAAAAGAAAAACCACACCATGCACAAAAAGCCCAGTGTGTTCCTTCGCTGTGAGTCATGCACCCAGTCTCGCCTGCAAAACAAGAACGGTGCAAGAGCCAGTGCTGAAGTTTTCAAGGATCTCCTTGACGTGTCTCATCCTCTTTTATAACAGTCACTTCATTTATACTTGGAGATGCCAAGTTACAAGCAGCACAGCGCTGAAATTACCAGCAGATCCAGCAGCCTAGACCAGCACCCTGCTAACATCGGCTTAAGTGTATATTAGATGTCAGAAATCCCTCACTCCCCCTCTTCCTTGCAGTGTTGAGGACTGAACAGAGCAGGCAAGTCATTAACTGTTTGAAACTACCCGTAGAACTGGAGTTTGGTAAGGAACTCGATTCCAGCACAGTAACACCAAATCCTGTTAGCTTCCTCTGTTTATTTCCGTGTAATCAGTACACAGCCTCCACATTAAAACTTCAGTCCAACAAGCTCTCCCAGCTGTTGTGGTGATGCACTGTGCTGAGGGATTTCAATTACCTTTGCTTGGTTTAAAACAAAGGCTGGTGGAAGAATGTGTGCGTTACACCGAGGTCACCATTACAGGAAAAAGCCTCATCCAGGGATCTGTTAAAATAGAGCAGCTGGAGGTTCTCTAGTACTGCTGCTCAAATATCAAGTATATAAACTGGAATGCTCCTTATGCATAAATATATTACAGGCCAGATAAGAGAATGCAGAAGGAGGAAGACACAAGAAGAGCCTGGGGTTAAAATGTCAGGTGTTCAGAGAAAGAGGTTAAGAGATCTTTAAACAAAAAAGCCAAGAGAGATCAGGGTTTGGCGTGAAGGTACGTGAGATGTTGAATACATTGCTGTGTCCTTAAAGGAAATAATCATCAATGCCTGTTTTAATACACTGCCAGGAAAAGATATTATCTGATTTGAAATCCTTGTTCTGAGATGGTTTCTACCACTACAAAGCAAGGGGTAGTTAAACACCAGGAAGAGTTACCTGCACCAAACCCACCCCAGCTGCTGGTTAAGCACAGCCGTTAATGCACAGAGCACTGGAGATGAAGGTGCAACCCTCCACACCAGCCATCTGAGTATGAAACAGTGCTTTGGGGGACGCGAGAGGCTGAGTCTTACCCCCAGAAGATGCCCTCGCATCAGAAACAGTGCACAGGGACGGCTAGTCTGATAGGCAGCTTGTAATATTAACTCATGACACAAGTAAGGTCAGAAAAGCTTAAAGATTAATATTTTTACAACTTGAAGTAGACAGAAAATACAGGAAATTATACACAAATAAAAATACTTCAGGTTGTAGTCAGAATACACAATCACTGGAGACAGCAGGTACAGCCAGCAAACACCCTGCTACTCATATACAGCAGTACTTACAGCACATAAAATGTTACAAAAATATTTTAATAGGTTCCACTACAAAATACTGCAGGTATTCATTCACTCAGAACACAGCAGACTGTATTCCAGATATCCTCTGTGGGTTTTTTGTTGATAATATAGTTTACACATTTTGAACTTCAAGTCACTCTTCATTTCTCCCCAGAGGGAGAAAGGGGAGAAAATACAATAAGGTCACTGAGCGCTTCAGCTGCTGCAAACTTCCCGGCTTTGCTCTTGACTGGAGTGAAGGGAAGCTCAGCATCCAGTAGCGGCTGTGGGAGAAATCAGCCACAGTTCAAAATCATGTACCTCTAAGTATCATGACTTTTCTAAGAAATTTTGCTCATTTCTTTCCAAACTTAAAATGAGAATTGAATATGTGGTCCATGTTCAGGACATTAATTACTTAAATCAGTAATCTATATTTTAAAGGTAATTCTTCAGGAGACCCAAGAAACACTCCACCCAAATTCTTTTAACAATTGGAAAGTTCTTGCACACCTGATTTTCTCTCTTGAATCTTACTTCCAGCTCTAAAAGTTAAAGCTATAAAAATAAAAAAAGGGGATGGGACAGACCTAAAAAAACTCGAAGAAAGTGGAGGAAAAAGGCCAGGCCCTTCATTGTGTTAGTAAATATTTACAAAAAATATACAAGAAATATAATTTAGATTGAGCTGGTAAGAATCAGACATTCTTCTGCTACAAATGTCTTGATTCATCCTGCACTCATCAGGTGCAATAAAGTATAAGAGTGTGAGCCTGAGCAGGGAGACAGGAATCATGGTTTGTATTTAGAGTAAGTTCTATGAATTGGCTTGATAATATCTTAGAGTTTAATTTACTTTGTGCAGTAACTGCTTCTGTAGGCAAGGTTAGCAGTACTGTAACCTGCAGATTGTCTCAAGCAAAGAAACCTGAAGGTCAACTTACCATATCCATGGATGTCGAATCACTACATGAAACATCTGAAAAATACAAATATTTCATATATTTTTTTAAAGTTAATCTGACACTGCCAACACTGAAAAACCAGCATTGTTTTCTGCATGTACTAAAAAAAAAACCCAAACCTAAACTGTCCACATTTTCTTCTTCAAGCCTATTACATTAGCTTTCTCCTTCGCATATCACCTGGAAACTACACAGAAAAAAAATCTGAGCGCACTGTTTGCTCACGTGCAACACACGTGCAAGTCATGCTGGCTGAAGTTTTGCTGACAGCATGCAGAGATTAACCGAGCTACAATGACAGTGATTTCAGAAAGTAATATTCAGACTATCATCAAACTTCAGGATAAACCTAAGGCCCCAGCCATACCACACGAGCTATACTAAGCAGCTTTAAGATAACGCACCTGTTTGATGTATTTTTGGTTCTCCAGCCCCAGCAAAGTTGGTCTCTGTGCAGGCCTCCTTCTCTGGACTGCACATGACAATATCCTGTCCTTGTTCTGCAGCAGAGAGTTCCATCTCTTCCATGCCATCCATTACTTTTAATTCACTGCTAGAATTTTCCAGCAGCTGAAAAATAGGAATTTTCACTGTTCTGAGCACTGAGAGGCCAAGAGGTCTGTAGTAGATGTATCTGCTTCTCAGAGAGCCAAAAGGAAAGCATCAGTGAGATCAGGCAGACATTTTGTCAGCCTTTGATGCAAAAAAAGCACAAAGGTGAAAAGGAGCCAGGACACTCAAGGGATCTGAGCTTACAAAACCCAGCGTGTCCCTGTTACACCAAACCAAGCCGATACATCTAACCTGCAGGTTTTAGGGAGAATTCAGGAGAGGCAGGGTTTTAACTCCGGACACTGTGCAAAGGACAGGCAGGATGAGGCTCGCAGCTTAACACTATGATCCATCCCACATGAGCTATTTCCTAAATACATCTCTTAACGATCTCCCAGAGAGTATAAAGGAAGTTCTTCCACAAGACAGAAAATTTAGAATTTAAAGTGCCAAAAACATTCCAAGGATGTTCTCTAATGAGATTTTACCCCAAGGAAAACCCATCAGCAATACTGAAAGTTAAGGATTACCAGAGTTTGTCTCCCAGAGTGGCATCACCAGCAAGAAATTTATCATTTGATAGGGAAAGGATGAAGTAAAAAGCATAAGAACAAATTAGTAACAAAGTTTTTTTAAATACATAAAATACATAGAGGGGGGAAAAAAAGATGACACTGCTGTAATCATGAACAGACCAAAGATTAATAAAATTAATAATAAATAATAAAAAAATAAAATTAAGATACTCCATTTCCAATGAAAGTTACTAAAGGATGATTAACTGCAAAGCACCAGCTTTCACCGAGTAGCACAGTATCACCTAAACTATGGAGGCTGCGTTCATGTTTTTTAACCAGAAAACAGATGGTAGAGTTCA